GCCATCGTCCCCCCAGCTGTGCGGCGTCTGCAGATGTGATAAAGTAGGGGAGGGTGCTGGTCCGAGAGGAAGCCCCTCCCTGTCTTAGTGGTCAGAGTCAGGCGTGTGCACGTGCGTGCCCATGTGCGCCGCCCTCCCACCCTGCATGGCACCTGCACCCAGCAGCGGTGCATGAGCGTCCCTGTGGGGCACGGCACACTGGGGATGCCCACGCCATCTCCCCTCCGCTCGAGGCCTGCTGCTTCCACACCTGGGACCCGGATGTGCCTTGCTGGCTCCGTCCACCAACCAAGTTTGGGGCTGAGCCGCCAGCAATGCGCTCCTCGCTCTGCTGGGACTCCAGGCCTCCCTGGGATGCTCGGCGGGTAGGGCGCAGCCGGATGTCCTCTCTGCAGCGGCGAGGCTGCTGCCTGGGGGAAGCCCCCTTGCCCACGCACCTGCTGGGCACTGTGTCTCCGATCCTCCCTTGTCTTGGCGGTAGTCACACGGCAGGGGAGCACGCTGGGGAACATCGGCAGACAGCCCTCACCGCAGCGCCCTCCAGACACTGCCCGGGTCCCCACACAAAGCTGAGCAGAGCCAGTCCCAGGCCCTGGCAGACCTGCAGGACAGTGGATGTGGGCGGCGGGGACTCAGGCCTGCTCCCTGCCTTCCCTGGTGCAGTGGGGGCTGTCTTTCCTTCCGAGACAGACTTCCCTCGCTACCTGCGGAGTCGGTGAGGGCCGCAGACGCTGAGGTGACAAAGGAGCCTAGATTCACGGTGGCCGGGGACACTGTGGGTGCCAGGTGGGAGAGGTGGGCCTTCTGCTCCACATCCTCCCCAGGGACGCAGGCCAAGCAGGCAGCCCAGCAGCGGCGTCACACCCTGGCCCAGGAAAGAGGCTGCGGTGAGCTTCCCGTGCCCTTGCCTGGATGCGCCATCCGTCACTTCCTTTCACACGGCGCCGGCTCAGCACTTAGGGCCGTGCCGAGTTTCAAAGGGGACAGAGAGTCTGCTGTGCCAGCGTTTCAGAGAAGGCCTCAGTGACTGCCTGCATCCTGGCCCTCCCGGCCGCCCGAGTCCCCGGGGTGCACAGTCCCGCGTGGAACGTCCTCCAGCCCCCTGGGGCTGTGCGCTTGTGATTGGCACCCAGTGGGCGTGGTCTGAGCCCGGGCCCTGCGGAGCTCCACACAGCGGGTTGTAGAAGACCCCCGCCGCCGCAAGGCTTCGGCCAGCCGGGACCTCCCCTTCCTCCTCCTCCACACGCAGGCCCCCGAGCCACACCCCTGTCCCCGGGCAGGGAGGCTCCGGGGCCAGCCCCTGCCTCTCCGGGTGTATGAGCTGTCCTGGCCCTTTGGTCAGAGCTGTGCTTCTGTCACTTTTCACTGGAGACTGTTGAGGAGCCCCCATTCCGGGGGGACTCTGAGCCATGTCAGTTACCCACAGGGAGAAGCAGACCCCAGTGGCTTCTGCAGTAAAATTTCATAGAATCCCAACACCCCCCAGGACCCCACGCACCCCACGCACCCCACACACTTGCAGATAAAGTTGCTGAGGCCTGGCTGAGACCTCTGCCTGAGTACTGTGTCCTGGTCCGTTTCTTGGGTGGGACACCCTGCGGGGACCCTGTAGGATGTCCCCCACATTGAAGGAAACCGTGAGTTTTACCTGGGAACTCTTGGTACTCTCTTTGTACCCTCGTGTGAGTTTTAAGCTAATCCTAATTAAAAGGTTGTAATAATAACACAACGCCTGTTTAGTTACGGTTCTACCGTCTGGGAAGGGCTTGGCCAGAGGCCTGTCTGTCTGCACGGACTGAGCTGCTACAGGTAGCTTCAGCCACACATCTGCTGTGTCACCTGGGCCTCCTGGAAGTGCTGCGGCCTGGCCAGCTGCCTCTCGCCACAAGGTCCGTCCCATACGGTGCGGACTCTTTCTATGGTGACTCAGGACCCAAGGGGGCGGAAATAGAAGCAGCAAAGCGTCTCGAGGCCTCAGGTGGGGACCAGCTGCTGTCCTTAGGGCCACATCCCACTGGTCAACATGTTCAGGGCACAAACGCAGACTCAAGGTTCAGGACAGAGGCCCCACCTTTGGAGAAAGGATTGAGTGGCATCTACCACCTGTCGCCATTGCCCGTATGTCAGAGGCTGCTGAGGTTGCTTCGTGGATCCATGGACAGGGTCTGAGCTCGGGGTCATGGAGGAACGGGCCCCCTCCCGGCCAAAGCTCCTGTCTCTCTGGGCAGGGCCTCCTCACTGGCCTGGCGCCGCTGCCGGATTCTGTTTTGCACGCTGGTGTTTGCAATCAGAAAGTTCAGCGGTCCTTCCAGTACGCTTAAATTAGTCCCCATGAAAACCAAATCATTTCATTTGCAGAGAAGGGCTTAATTGCAAGGGGAACGAGGCAAAGGGAATTCTGTTGGCTGTTTTCATTGAAGAAAATTACTGTACTTTCCCCTGTCTCCTTTGGAAATAGAAGCAGCTTCGAAGTGGGGCTGTCATCGCAGTGGTACCTCCTCTGCCCACACTGCACGGCCTGTGGCTCAGCTCCGGCCCACGGCCGAGGCCCTCTGCAGGCCACGCTGGCTCATTGGCCGGTCCTGCTCTGGCTGGGCAGCACTGTCATGGTCTGCAGGGCAGCTGGAGTGGCATCACATCTCCGCAGTGCTCAGTCGCCCTGGGTTTCAGGGAGGCCCTCGGCCACGGGCTGGAACGCACTGTCAGCGGGGAGAAACGTCCTGCACTCTTCTTAGAATCCAGTAAAACCTGCTCCAAGTCTCGCCTGCCAGGGCGGGTGAGACCACACATTGTGGAGGCCTCCTGGACGGTGTCTTCCCAGGCCCTGGGCTTGTCTGGCAGGGGCAGGATGTGACCTGGACTTCTCCGGGGCTTCTTCCAGTACTCAGGGCCCTGGCTGTGGGGCTGGGCAGATCCCACACGCCGCACCTGCATCTCAGATGGTCCAGCCTGTGCCTCTCTGTGGCCGGCGTAGAGCTGTTGTTTCCTGGGGACCCAGAGCTCGACCCTCCAGGAGGCAGCTGCAGGGTGGTGCCTGCTGCCGGGCCGTGGGTGTGATGGGGCCCTTGGCAGGTCTGAGGGTGGGTGAGTCACCCAGGTCACTCAGAATAAAAAGGGAAAAATAAAAACCAGAGCAAGTGTGAACAGAAAACAGGAATTCAAGCCTTAGACACTCAGTGCCTGGTTCTCCTGCTGAGACAAGTTCCCTCCCATTCATTCACTGAATATTTCCCGAGTGCCTGCTGTGGGCCAGACACTGCTTGAGAGCCGGGCATTGGGCAGAGAAAGGATCAGACAGATCCATGCACAGGGCCGGGGGGCGGCTGAGGCTGGAGCAGAGGCGGGGAGACAGCGCAGTAAGGGAGACACACTGGAAGCCATGGTCCTCGAGGAAAGAGGAGGGCTGAGCCCAGAGGACCCAGGGTGGGCACGCAGGTCTGACCTCAGACAGGGAAGGTGACACAGCAGACCTGAAGGAGAGAGGGCATGAGCCCATGGAGGGCTGGGGCACACAGTGCGGTGACAGCAAGTGCAGAGGTCACCATGTCATCACCTGCTGGCCAATCTGACCATTTCTTTCTTCGCCACTGTCTGCTCCAGGGATAGAGTGACTTGCCCAAAGTCCCGGCCACTGAAGGCAGGGCCAGTCCCGAGGGGCTGAGCACTGCGGCTCCCCCAGCCTGGGCGCTGTGCTGGGGACAGGGACGTGCTGGGTGGCAAGGTGCCCACCGAGCCCTCTGCCTCAGTTGTCCCTGGTGTATTGTGGGACACTCCTTCCAGAGTCCTTGTCCGTCAGCTTTCTCAGGGACGGAGGTGGGGAGCTGGCTGCCCCGGCAGGGCTGCTCGGGAACAGCTGGGTGTCCTAGCCAGCCCCTGCCCCGTCTCTTTGGGGGCCAGGACCAGAAAAATAGATCTGAGTGCGTCAGCAAAGAGAGTTTTTGAGGCTTAAAGTCAACGGTGCATTAATTAAGGGGGAACAGCTGCTACTGCAGCTCTCGTAAGTGAGTGACAAATGGCCGTGTTTACCTTCTTCCTTGCTTCCTCAGGGAGGTGGCCTGGAGCTCCTGGGCGATGTCCACAGCTGAGATTTGTGGGCTACAGCCTCTTTCCTCACCCACCACCCTGCTTTAATGGTCCCCACCGCGGCCCACGGGGGCTGTTTGTCTGGAGGAAAGACGGCTGTGGTGGGGAGTGCCTGGGGGGGTGCTTCGGGCAGAGCTGAAGCGTCCCAGCAATGGCTCCTGCCCAGGCTGCCCTCACCCCCTCCTCAGACAGAACCCCCAACCCGCGCTGTCCCCAAGAGCCACTCAAATGCCAGGCAGGGGCCCAGAGCTGAGCAGAAGTCTCCGCGGCTCTGAGGCCGGCCCCGGCTGTGCTGCCCTGGGTGCTGGGGCCCCGGCCACTTGCTTCTTCCTGTGTTGCTCTGGCCCCGAGGAGCCCTGCACTAGCACCCCCCAGAGCACCAGACAGGACAGGCGAGGCAAAGTCTGCACCTCGAATCCAGGAGGGAGGCAGAATCCTTTCCCCTAACCTGTGCGCTGGGCCCTGTGTCCGCTCCCCCACCCGGCCTCCAGCAGAGGCAGGCAGAGCAGGGGGTGCCCGGCCCTTGCAGCCTGCCAAAGAGATCCCCATCTGCATCCTGGCACCAAGCTCAGATGCCCACAGCTTCCCTGGGGACCCCATGCCACCACACAGACCACATGTGGCCTTAACGGCGGGCCTAGAGGGAAGCAGCCACCTCCTCAGGGGACATGGTCCGCTGCTGGGAAGCCCCAGCCAACCTCACTGTTCTCCCCGTCTCTCCCCCAGAAGGAGCTGGGCATACACTGAAGAAAGCAGGGAAGGTGCAGGAGGAAAAGGCCCCTATGGGGTCCACCCCACGCCAGGCTGTCTTGGAGGACGGGCGGACTCCGCCTTCAGAGCATGCTGCTGGCCTGAGGTGGCCCCCGCACACTGCCCGCTGCTTTGGGCCAAAGTGAGCACGACAGATGAGACACATCCATTTTTAATAAAGTTTATTTATCCAGTTCTGATCCTGATAGGAAGCCTGTCATGTTCCACCCTGGCGGGGCCTGGTTATGAGAACAGGGCTGGTGCCCGGACTCCAGCCCCGCACGCTCCAGACAGGAAATGAGCATATTGCTCAAATGAGGGTGACCGGAGCTTTACTCAGGAGACAAAAACACCAGTCAGCCCACAAGGGGGCGGACGGAGTCCTTCCTGCCCCGGCCCGGATAGTCACAGGGCCGCCTGGCGGCCAGCAGGGGGCAGTGTGCGACTGCCGTGGCGCCTGCCCGGCCAGAGCTTTGGGCCCGGCGGCGGATGCGGTCACAGTAAAACGCGTGGCCTTGCTCCAGAAAGTGACAGGCGCCCCGCCCTGCGCCCCGGAGCCTGTGTTCATTCTCCTCCCAGCAGTGCCTGGCTGCAGGTCTGGTCTGAAACCGCAGCTTGTGTGAGGAGCGCCACTGCGGCCTGGCCCCCGCCCCTCACTACCCGCCCGGACCCGGGGTGCGGGGACCCTGGACAGTCCCTAGTCACCGCTCTAACTCCTAGCATCGTCCGTGCTCAGACGAACGCATCCCATCCGCCGCCGAGTCAGGCTTTCTCCCCTACCCTTGAGTTCCCAGGTAACCCCAAAGGCACATGGACCAAGCCACTCCCGTCCCTGCCGCCCCAACCCGCCGTCCCTGACCCACCTCCCAGGCCGAGCAGCTGCCGCCCGACCCGTGCTCTGCGCCGGCCCCGCAGCTGCTGCCCTACGTCTGTGTCCGTGGAGAACAAACCCTCTCCCCTCTTCCGCCAGCGAAGCGGGCACAGGACAGGCTGCGCCCGGCTCACCACCTCGAGGAAGCGGCTCCCCCGCAGCCGGGCGGAGGGCGGCAGTCAAGGCAAGTGTGAATGCAGCACCGAGTCCGGCCGCCCTGGCCCTGGGACGGCCGACGTGGAACAGGCCCTGCGGGGGCCTATCGCTCTGAGTCAGAGAAGGAGGAGGGCTTAGTCCATCTCCACACCAGCATGTCCTCCCCAGCCACGCGGTGCGACTCTGTCTGGATCCGGGACTCGTTGGAGGCCAGGAACTCCACGGCGCGGTCCCACACCCGCTTCATGCGCCTCCTGCAACAAGAGCGGCTCGGCAGGGGCGCGGGCCCTCCCTGCAGGCTCTGCGCGTCGAGGCGGAGCCACCAGGTACTAACTCGCCGGCCCCAGAGCACGGCGGCTTCCTCAACCTCCGCTGCTCCGAAGCCTTCAACAGAGCAGAGGGGGCTGGGTGGTGAATGTGGGGGGCTGCGCTGGACCTGCCATTTCTGGCTGAGACGGCTGATCTGCAGCAGCCGTGCGAGGGGACCCCACGGCCCTGCCAACCTCCTCCCAACGCCTCCTGTGGGCCAATTACAGAGCGGCCACGGGCTACAGGCCCAGCCATGGCACCCAGGGATGAGCAAAGCATCCAACCGGGAAACCCAGGCTTAGGAAGCAGAGCTGCCAGGGAGGGCCCGTTCAGGGCCGGAGAGCCAGACAGCCCTCCCGCCTCCCTTTCAGAGTGGGCAGGGAGGCTCCCGGGCGGACCACCTCCCCAACCCGTAGGAAAGGAGGGAAGAGTGGGAGTGTGGGGGACCAGCCACAACCGGGAGAACAAAGGGAGGTGGCAGGGTGGGGGTGCTTCCTGCCTGGGGTGGAGGGGTCAGGCTACACCTCCCTGGGGACTGAGCTCCGAGGACAAGGATGTCCACGCTCACGCTGAGCCCTGAGGAGGCAGCGCCCTGGCCCGCGCCTCCTTCCCGCTGCCTATCAGCAGGTATGTGCCCACGGAGCCAGCTGCTGCCATCAGCGCCGGCTCCCTCTCTCAACAAGCTCACCTCCCTCAGCCTCGCACAAGCAGGCCCTCGACTGCTCCCAGGCAGACACTCATGGGTCCTTCCCTGTGGAGGGCCTGGCTGGGTGGACGGGAGCCTCCAGGTGCAGTTGGGCTAACTCTGCAGGTGCGCAGGGGACGACAGCAGCTCTTGCTCTGCGCTAACGTGTGGGATACCGCCCCATGGCAGGCGCACTGCCCACCTCGCGGCCTCTTTAAGGGGCTGAGTGTGGCTCTGAGCTCCGCCCAAGCGCAGTGGCCAGGCGTGGATGAGTGCTCTGGTGCCAGGCAGAGACAGCTCTGAGGCCACCTCCTTGGCACCCTGTCCCTTTCCCTTAGAACTGTCGCAACCCAGATCACACGTCCCCCCTAGGCTTCCTGTCAGGGGCCTTCCTCTCCAGAACAAACGCCCTGGCAGGCAGGGCTCTATGCTAAGTCCACTGCCTGGCGCACGCATCTCCCTTCGATGAGGAGAGGCACCCCAGAGGCTGAGCAGGAGGCCCGTGGTCACACAGTGACTTCCGGCCGGTGTCCGGACTCGCCTGAGTGGCCCAAGACAGACGTGGGCTGCCCACTGTGACCAGTGCACTCTCCATTGCTGGCCCTGGCTGCCCCTGCGAATAAGAAGTGAGGGCGACAGAGACGCTGAGGACCAGGCTTAGGATCTCCTTGGCCCAGGGCCACCTTCCCGTGCTGACTGCCGCTGCACTTTTTAAACTTAACCATTCCATCCAGGTTCCTTAGCGCTGCACCCTCGACCATAAAGCCCATCGATACTCAGACTGCTGTCCCTCCAGTGTCAGCCTGCCTGCAGGGAGAGGAGCAAATCTGCTCCTCCCCGCAGCCTCCGTCTCGGGTGGCTCCTCCCTCGCCATTACTACAGCCAGGTCAGGGGTGACGGAGACTGTGGGCACCCGAGGGCCTGCTCCGCAGCCTACCAGCTCTGCTTCCCGCCAGGCGGAGGGGCTGGGGCAGGTGGGGTGAGGTGCTGAGCACCTTCCCGTCCACAGCCACCCTTCACGGCCCTACTCTCCTGGGCCCTCCGGCAGCACACAAGGGGTGACACCCACAGACCTACTGGTGGCACCACCTACGAATGCCATGGGCCATGAGGGACTTGGGGTTCCTTTTGCTCAGTTTCCTTCTTGTAAAGCAGGCTACTCGCTGTTGTCATCTCTGCTGGCCACGGTGAGGACAAGGAGCTATGTGCAAAGCTCCGGGCAGGACCAGGACCAGGCCCACGACTCCCACAGCCCAGTGCATGACAGCATGCAGAGATCAGAGGCGACACCGGGAAGGGCCCTGCTGGCCGCCCGGGGACTCTGATCCCATCCCACCCGCCGGCCCTGTCACCCCTCCCCACAAAGCCACGTGCTTTGGAAACCGCCCAGCGGGCCGCAGTTGAGGTCTGCTCTCAGGTGCACAGGAGTGCGTGTGAACCAGGCCATGGATGCAGCTGATAGGTTTTCTGACTAGGTCAGCCACAGAAGTCTGAAAGCCCCCCTCCCCTTTCCTGGGAACGGGTTCTGGCTGATGAGTCCCTGGGAGAGGGTCCCCGAGCTACAGGGAAGGTCTGCGCGTGCTTGGAAGAGTGAAAGGAAGGCCACTTCTCCTCTGCCGGCGGCGACCAGGCTGACACTGCTGCTGGCTACCACCCTGTGACCACAAGGGACCGGCCTGCAACAGCCTTCCTGGGGCAGGCAAGGGGAGAATCACACAGAAAAGCAGCGGAGTGCTGGCGGTCCTGTGCCCTGGCCCTCCCGGATGGAGCCACTGCAGGGAGCGTCCTGTCCTGTCCTGTCCTGTCCTGTCCTGGAGGAGCAGGCCACGCCCTCCTGGTGCTGTCTCAGGCCCGGCCTGCCCCGGCGGGGACTCACCGGCTCTGTGGTGGGATGAGGGAGTCACGCACATGCAGGATGCCCACGTACGGGTAGCGCTCCATGTCCTGCTCCCAGTCCACGTAGTGGTCCTGGACCACGTCTGCGGGGGAGAGCACGCTTCAGGGTGAGGCCACTGCAGGCGCAGGCCGCCCCTGGGCCCGGGGACCACGCACCTATGATCTTCTTCACCATCTCGTACATGGCCTGCTCCTCCTCCTCCAGCTTCCGCCATCGGTACTTCAGGAGGATCAGGAGTCCCCACAGGAAGGCCAGGCCTGGGAGGGAACAAGCCAGCGTCAGTCCCTGGCATCCACGGTGGCTGTAGGCGGGACGCTGTGCTGGAGGCAAGGGACCTGCCAAGTACGTTCTGAGCACCTACTGTGTGTCAGGAGCAGGGCGCACGTGCAGCAAAACAAGGACACAGGCACAGGAGGGAGGAGAGACGTGAAGTGATCATCGTCCTGCTGCCGCTGTCACCAGAGGCGTCCCCAGCCATACAGATCTCTGTCCCTCCCCACCTCACCGCAGGCTTTCATCTCCTCCCGTGAGCCTGAGTGCAGCGTTTCATACATATATACATGCCAGGCCTTTGTATGCCGACACGCTGCTGCCGGTAATGATTTCCAGCCTGCCGTGCACGGAGAGCGGGGTGCTCAGCGCCGGCCAGCTTGGGGGCCTGGGTCTGTGCTGCAGCCTCTCACTTTCAGGGGCGCCCCGAGGTCTCTGCTCAAAGGCTCGAGACGTCAGCAGGTAAAACCTGCTCTCCTTCCCAGCCCAGCACCCCAAGTCCTCCCGTGCTTGTCAGGTATCTGCAGCTCCCCAGGAGGTGTTTACATTCCTCAGGGAGCAGAATCAGGGCAAGCCCCTGCTGCGCCTCCTGCCCACAGCTGTTCCGCATGCCCGCCGAAAGCGGCAGCACCCGGCTCCTGCCCAGTCAGGGCCCTGCTCAGGGACGCTGACAGTGCCCGGCTGCAGCACGGACGTTTCTAGTTATCCTGATGCTCCCGCCACCAATCTCCGGAGGTAGAGACAGCCCAGGGCAGAGGCTGACGTGTTCATCTCCTCTGTTTTACGACACAGACCTCGAGCTCAAGAGACGGAGATGACCTCTGGGTGGGGAATTTCTGTAGCACATCACTCATGCCTCCAAGGGCCTGAGCAGGCTCCCAAGGTGAAAGCCAGGTCCACAGCCAGGGCCGGCGGTGGGACTTACACCAGAAGAAGATGAGCAGGTGGGTGACAGCGGTGAGCAGGGCACGGCTCAGCCGGCAGCCGACGCCCATGCGGGGGCGCGCAGACTCCAGGCAGACCACTTTGTCCACAGATGTCACCAGCTCGGAGGGGTCTTCTCCTTTCAACCTGAAACAGGACACAGGGCTCTAACGGCACCCGGAGGCTCCAAGGAGCTGAGGCCCGAGCCCCACTCCAACCAGGAGGAGGCCAGAGGCAAAGGACCCGGGCCCCGCCTGCTTACACAGCAGGCCTGGTATCTTGCCTGTGCTCTTCCCATCAGTTTCCCACGCTGGCTATTTAGAAAGAATAAAGCTTTACACACGGCAGCAGGCTTGAACCCCTACCGTTGAAGTGACGTCCCCCTCTGTCGGGTCTTTGACAGCCTCTCTCAGCGTGCAGAAGATTAAACTGTAAATTGGATTCCCACCTCCCAGCACAGAGAAACGGAAATGTTTACTGAATCACTGGCTCTGCGGCTGCACGGCAAGACGGAAAGACAGAATCTGGGCGGCTGCGCTTTTGTTCCGTGACGGGCAGCCACAGAAGCTGTTTCAGTGTAAGGATCACAGGGCATCCAGAGGCACGGGGCGAAGGGAAACCACCAGGCTTGCCTGGGCCAGACCCCTGCAGGACCCCTGAGTGCTCTCCCGGAGCCGGGCCCAGTGTCACAGTCTGCGCTGGCTGCGAAATGAAGTCTCCTGATTTCTTGTGCCCCGGTTTCCAACAGTGGCCATTGGAGGAGCTCAGCTGCCCTCCCAGCCGCCTCGCCGGTGTGAGAAGACGAGTGTCATCATTCCTACGTTAGCGGCTTCCTTGGGCACCGTGAGGAGAAAATCTGTCTTCTCCTCTGCCTTTCCTAACAGGGAAAGCGCTCAGCCACTCAGGGCAGCGGTTTTGTAAGCCGGCGAGTTTTAATCGTGCTATGCATCCAGTTAGCAGGCTTTAGGCCGCGCTGCCCGTGGGGCTGCTGCTGGATGCGCTGCTGATGGAATTAGTAATTTGGGCGGATTAGAGAGGAAACGAACAAAACCCTAGAGTGTCTTTTAATATCAGGCACTGGAGCTGAACTGAGATCCTGACAAACGCCGAGGCGCAGGCAGGGGCCAGGTGACGCCTGCTCTCCCGCACAGGGAGCCGCCTGGGTCTTTCAGCCTCCTGAAAAGGGTTTGCTATCTCTGCTAACAGTGCTCGCCCGTGATAAAAACGAGGCGGAAACTGCCTGGTCAGAATCAAATCCAGCATTTCCCAAGCAATTTCCATACTGAGTAAAAGCAACATGCAGAATCACTTCATCTACAAATGGAGACGCACAGTGTGGACAGGAAATGCAGAACAGCGTCTTCCCGGGAACCACCTGGGGTGCAGAATGAGGAGGGTGGGTGGGGGACCTGAAGCAGGATTAGCTGGGGCACTGGGCCAGGACCCTAACACCGGGATCAGGCATCTCCTGAAACTGCTCAGCCCTGCAGCCTAAACCACCTGCCTTCTGCGGCTCCACCCTCAGGGCGGGCAGGGGGCGCGGGTGAGGGCCGGGCCCCTGGGGTCAGGCTGTCCTGCTGCTCCGCCATCCTCACGCCAGCACTCACCAGATGCCCACATCCTTGTTGCTGCTCAGTATCCAGGTCAGTGCGGCTTCAAACTTGGACGAGGAGCTGCTGGTCACATTCTGTTGGGGGGAGGGGAGTCAGTTCTGCCCCTGGGCAGAGCAGCCGGAAGCACTGCAACCTCGGCGGTGGCTGGGTTAGGGAGCCCCTCCCAGGGCCTCCACGTGCCCCCCGACGCCCACTCCGCTAGAGGCACTCACACTGGCGGGGAGGAAATCTGCAGCCCTGAGAGGCAGGCAGGGGCTCCGCCCAGAGGGGGCGCTGCAGGCGTAGAAGCGGGGAGCAAGGGGCCGCCCCAGGGCTGGAGACCACTCCCGGACTGTGCGTCCTCCTGCAAGTCCCTGACCCTCTCCAGCCTCAGTCTCCTCGTCCGTGCGATGCGGATGGAACTAGACAGCCCTCAAGATCGCTGCTGGCCCCTAATCCCACCAACCGGAGGCCATGCGGGGACTTACACAGACTGAATGGAATCACAGATACAGTGGGCAGGTTCCATGTGCACCCTGAAAGCACTGAAGTGGGGAGGGGTGGGGGAGCGTGTAACAGGGCCCTTTAAGAAGCGGGGCCTGAGCCAGACGTGGAGGTGCATCCTATAATCCAAGCATCTGACAGGCTGAGTCAGGAAACTCTCGAGTTCAAGCCCAGCCTAGGCAACTTAGCGACTTAGTGAGATCCTATCTCAGAAAATGAAAATAAAGGGGGGGTGTGTGTGGCTCAGCATGAAGGTCCTGGCTCCCATCCTCAACACAACACACGCATGTGCGCACACACATGGATGCATGCACACACACGCACACGCGCGCTCACACACAAGGAAAGGAAAAGAAAGGCACGGGGGCGGGGGGTGTCTGCCTGCAGCCCTTGTTTGGCCGTGACAGGCGGCAGGGCAGGAAGCAGCAGCCAGCTCTGGAGCACGGTGCCCACCGTGGCTGCCTTAGCTTCAGTAGCCTAACACTCCACTAAGCTAAGAAAAAGAGAGAAGGCAAAAGCTACAAAGCAAACACAACACAAAAAAGGGAAAACCTGCAGGGCTTCAAGGATCAGTAACAAACCCCAACCCTTGGGACGAAGGCCGCACAGCCTACTCACTGCTAGGTATTCCTGAGCTTCCAGAACGGGAATGCATTTGCTTTTTAGCTTCTCTGGATTTCCACACTCAAAATTACCTAGGAGAAAAAAGACACATTCAAACAGAGAAGAGGTGGAAAAAGAATGACTCTGAAAGGGACTAAAAATGCAACAGGAATCAAGCCATCAGCTCTAACCCGGAGCGTGCGGCGGGCGGCCCCCACCTTCTGTGGGGTATCTTCACTCTGCAGCAAGATCAAAAGCCACTTAGCTTGGATCGATTCCAGATCATTAAAACCTGACCTGCAAAGCAGTGTGGCAATTTGCATTAAATGACTAAAAAGCTGCCCAATACCAAGGTCTGTTTGCAATTGATCCCTAAAAGGATCAGACAGATAGGTTTGGAAGGCACCAGAATGGCACTATAAATAAACACAGCCTGGGAAAAAGGGAAGGTGGGGAGGCTGCGGGCACCACAGGGGTGCTGATCATGACACAGGCTGGCAGCCCGGACGGCCGAGCCCATCGTCTGAAGCGGTCCTGGGCAGAGATGCTGGAGATGGCTCCACGGACGAAGACGGGGGTTGTGCTGGGCAGAGGCCTGGGCGGCAGCTCCCTTGGAGCACCTTGGCAGGCTGTATCCCACCCAGTCCCTTCCCCAGGCCGCAGGGGCCTCTCAGTGGCCAACCGGCTGGACTCCGTGGCCGGCTGGCACAGCCTCGGGCCTCCTCCAATGGCTGTGGTCTGCTGCCAGGCCCTGCGTCCTGTGGGCAGCTGCACCCCGACAGCAGGGAAGGTGGGGCTTGGAGTCACAGGACCCTCACACTCCCTTGCGCCCAGTGTCCCTCCTCTGGCGCAGCCTGGGGCCCTGGGGCCCGTCTGGGCCTGCGGGTGGGAGGGAGGGGCTGAGGGCAATGGTGCACTCAGTCTCTCTTCACAGGAGCTGCAGCCTGTCCTCTAGCCCCAACACTGCCGATCTTGACCTGTGTGTGCTGAGACCAGGGTGGCTTCTGCCATCCTCCTGGCCCCTGCCTGGACCAGGCCTGCCTGACGGCCCCGACGGCCTCCTGACTGGTTTCCTCCTGTCTTCTTTCCAATCCGTGTGTTTTGTCAATAAAGCTTTGAAATGATTCCGTGTAAATGACACTGCATCACGCAGGCGGCTGCCGCATTTGCCTTCCTGGCGCCGGGCTCCCAGCACATCACTCCCCTGCTCAACGCTCAGCGCCTCCCCGCTGTCCTCATCTGCTGGATCGGGGTCTGCCGGCCTGGCGTCCACCGCCGGCCCTGAGCCCAACCTGCTCTTCCCAACTGCACCTCCTCTGTGAGCCTGCCGCTTCCTGTCCCTGCCTGTCACTCCGCCCGTCCCCTTCCTGCACGTGTACAAGTGGTCCCACCTGGGCTGCGGGGCGTGACACTTTCCTGAGGCTTCCAGAGCAGCGGCTCAGGGCGTGGCCAGTGGAGAGGTCACACTTCCCTCTGGCCTGTCGAGGTGAGACCTATGCCCTTGCAGATGCCCCTGCCAAGCTGGTCAGAGGGTAACTGGTGCCAGGAATAAGCCAGGACCCCACACAGAGGGCAGAATGGAGGAGCAATGGCCACCTGGGCCCAGTGCAGAGCTTGGCTGTCCAAGCCAGGAGCACACGGGCCCCCAGGGATTGTTTAAGTGCTGGTTCTGACAAGGCGCATGAGCAGAGGGCTCGGTATAAACTTCGCATTTCCGGTGAACTTCACTGATGCTGGTGCTGCAAGTCTGGAGCAGGCGTGCCCAGAACAATGGAGATGTGGGTAGGGGCCCAGCTCCTTTCCGCTCCAAGGAGCTCTTGGATGGTTCCTCAGCCACCTCTGATCTCCCAGCATCACAGTGGACGGCCCCAAGACCGGGCCACAGCACAAGTCCGCCCAGCCTCTGCTGCCCAGTGGAAGCGCTGGTCATCCTCTGACCTTTGGGTGACAGGGGCCTCCTTAATACTCCCGAGACCAAAGACATGAGCCCGAGGCCAAGCCCTGGACATCCACCCGTGCTGTCCCAAGTGCTTCCGGGAGCCCTGCAGATGCAGGTGTGCAGGAAATAATAGCAAGGTGACTTCTCTGATCCCCAGGCACAAGTTCACCAGATGGAGTAACGGGCACTTTGGGGGTGCTGAGAGCGCCTCCCCCAGCGGACTGCACTGCAGAGAAGACAGACCCGAGACCGCTGAGTCACACAGGAGACAAGCTCTGGGAGGACCAGGGTCTTGGAACCAGATGGTGCCACCAGGACCAATGTGACATCGGTGCCATCACCTGCTTCCTACATGGGCAAGAGGCCTCTCCCCAGCCCGGCTGTCGGGGTGGAAGACACAAGCCTTGGAAAGACCCGGACCCTGCCCCTTTCGACGCCAATTCGAGCCCCCAAGCATGAGGTGGAAGGTGTCCCAGAGAGGGGGACATCTGTCCCAGAGGGACATCTGCACGGACAAAGGCCCATGCACCCTGCAGCAACTGAAGAGCCACACTCGTGTAATACAGCGCAAGGCTTTACAAAGATGTGTGAGTGGGAGGCGGGAAGGCAGACTCTCCTGGGACAGGTGTGGGGCAGGACCACACCCGCTCGGGACTACTCACCGGCTTGGATGGCCAGGAAGTTGTAGAGCTCGTGCAGCAGCTCCAGCAAGGCCGCCTTCTGCTTGGCCTGGCAGAACTGCAAGGCAAGGGCAAGGGTCAGCAGGGGTCAGCCCATCCCTTCCTACCTCTCCAGCCCCGGTGTTGAGTGCACCCTGACAGCAAGGGGCAGCTTGTGAGTCAAAAAAAAAAGAGACCAGTTCTGCAGAGTGCTGGGCCCAGGGAGAGGCAACAAACAGCGGGTTAAGTGGCTGAGGACACTGTCAGCAGAGCCCAAGCCACAAGCAGATGCGGTAATGCAGGGACAGCTTCCCAGAGGCTCCGGGCCTCTGTCCTGCATCTCCTTGGAATAAAGGCCAGTGAGAGGTGCTGATAACACAGTGGTGGCTTCCTTGGAGGGAGGAGCCATCACTCCTGGGCACTCCCTCTCAGTTTAGGGGGAATCTGGGGACCTCCTAGGTAGGGACTTCGTGGGGGACAACACACCCACTCCTGCTGTCCACACGTCCTCGGCAGCACAAGAAACACACAGTGTCATAGTCTTCAATGGCCCTGAGGGGAAAGGGTGCTTATTGGATACTCAGATGCCCGCCTTGGTTCTGGGTGGGCCTGGAGCCACGCACGGGAGACTCAGGAGCCACAGAGGAGAAAGAAGGATGTTCTAACCTGCCTTTGCCCAGGGCCACTGTCCCCGAAGGCCAAGGGCACCCCGGGAAGTCAGCGGGGGTGCGGCCCCAGCCCTGCTGTCCCGTGGTCAGACACAGGCTGCAAGATTTATTACAAAGAGGGAATCTCTAAGCCTGGCCCGCAGGTCACAGAAGCTGTCCGCTTGCCGAGGGCATCTGCGGCAGGCACCTGGAGGGTGGTCGTCCGGGCTCACTGGAGTGGCCCTGAGTGTGGCCAGCTCTGGGCTCAACCAGCTCTGAGAAGGGCCCGGGGAGCAGACCTGCCATTTACTTGGGGCCGGACCTTTAGAGATACGAAGGACCAGGGAACACAAACTGGGGACCCTTTTCTAATTGAAGGGCAATGCAGCTAACATCCCTAGAGGAGTCTCACTCAAGTTACTTTTTCCTTTTTCTCACTCAAGTTTACTTTTTTGCTTTTTAGTCTTCAACATTCGAGTCTCCCCCGCTCCCCGGCCACCTATGATTCTGGGCTACTTGCTCTAATCAACCACTGCAGCTTTTATGACGGAAGGCAGATTAAACGGATGAATCTGTTTTTACAAAGCAACGGAGAAGCACAGACATTCGGTGGATGAGTGCAATAAATGAATGTTATAAAACACCGCAAACATGACGCACCAGAAGCCAAGGAGAAACAGAATTGGTAATCTGCAGCAGGATGCCCTGCGTTAACGAGGGTAACGCAGCCCATCAGTGCAGGGGCGGCCCAGTGACCATGCGTCATTTCTCCCTCAGCCCCGGGGCTGCGGAGGCCCGGCATCCCACACTTATAATTAGACTACTGAGCTGTGCCCTCCGGCAGCACACGCTCCTCCTGGTAGGATTTACGACCTGAAAATTTATTGCCTCCTATCTCCCCCAGACTATCACCGGTACCAGCATCCCGGCTCCTTGCTAATGGGCCCTTGTGATTCATAACTGGATGGGGCTGCTCGCCTTGCCCAAATATTATTTGTAGGGAACATTAGGGCTTCATAAAACAAATCTACGGTAAGCACAGACTAAGAGGGCTAATTCTACCCAGGATGTGTTTTAAACAAGCCCCCTCTGATGTGTCAAATCCGAGCAGCATTTTGAGAGCTGCTGACGTACATCAGAGAGATCACGGAACTGAGGACCTGGCCTCCTGACAATGTACAGAAACCGCCAGCCCCGCCTCCCGACGCCAAGGGGCCAGGGGTCCTCCAACAACCCACTGCGCCTCCTCCCCAGATCAACTCAGGCAGCAGATCAAAGTCCCCGAGGTTGAGGCTGACGTGAAAGCTTCTCTAACAGCCCAGGGTTGGATGTTGGGAGCTCAGCCTCTGTATCTCAAGTGCTTCTTCACTGCCACAATTGAGTCTGACACAAACATCACAGAACACGATGTGACTCTCTCTGGTCCGTTACCGGAAGCCCTCCCTGCGAAGGCGCTCACTATGATCCCGTGCTGGGAAGAGTACCTCCGGATGGAGGCGAGCATCCTCGGGAGGAATAACAGAAACAGGAGAAACTCAAACTCACCTCATCTGTTTTTCTTTCACAGTCCACGGGCAACAGTTTCACTGAGACCAAGAAAAGAAACGGAGAGGTTAAAAGGCGTGGGTTGAGGAAGAGAAGACAGAGACCACTCAAGAGCCAGGGGAAGCCAAACAGCACCGACACAAGGGTGGGGATTAGGAAGATGTCATCTAATTGCAGACCGCAAGATGCAAGGGTTTCCCAATCCTGGGTTAAGAGTTTGGAAGCAGGGTCCTCATCCCGATTGAAAACGTGTAGCTACAGGTTCTTGGGCAACTCAACTACTTGGAACTTATGTATTCTCATCTGCGAAATGGGGTCACATGGGCCCTCCCTGCTTAACTCAGAGGCTCAGCACGCTAACACACACAGCAGTGTTATGAGTGGTGAACAATGTTATACGAAGCAGGGATTAGTGCCATCACCGAGGGTTAACTCCAGGTAGATCCCAGCATACGTCTTGTATCATTTCAGCATACATGGGGCACCACGTGGCATCATTAGCTTGGTTACAGTACCAGGACAGGCCTGTGACACCCAGGTCCAATCAGGTTCTCTAGGAGGTAGATCAACTATCCCCAAGGAAACCAGCTGGGTGTCGCATAAGTCCGTGACCCCACCCAACGCCCATGAACCATAGTTGCTAAGGTGCAAATTGGTACTTCCCTGCATTTCAGCCGCTCACACTGGGCATGGAAAGGGGGCCTGGTCTGGGAACAGAACTAAGCACATTCGTGCTTTGCAAAGAATATCACAAGTGGGTGAACGGGAGTGTCATTTCTATACAATTTTAAATGAAATGATCTTTGTGCTGCTTCCTGTTAGACCAGAGCCGAGTTAACAGAGAGGCAACTTTCTCTTTCGGGAAACATAGGATCTCCAGCTACACAGGCGGCAACTGTATCTTGCACACCTCTCACTGGGGCCTCTCACACTGCAAGTGGACGGCTGGGAACAGCCCTGAACCAGACCCTCTCCTGACACAATCCCTGAGGTGCTGCATGCACGGATAAATGCCTCCCCCTGGGGTCCGTTTAAGCCTCAAAGGTTCATCCACACCAGCTGCACAAGCAGCTACTAAGACACATGATGGCCCTGTGGTACCCATAAGTGAATGGTCTCTTTGGTGCGGCAAAGCTGGGACCCCAAGCAGATCCTGTCTGCAGGCCCGTGAAATCTGCGTGCCTTCAGACGGGCACGGAGGGGTGAGTGAGCAAGAGACCAGGAGAAGAAAGAATCAGCCAGGGCTGGGGCTGTCTGTTAGGGGGTGTGGCTTTCTCTCCAGAAGGAAAATGAGAGGTCTGGGTAGAATTCCACCTGCTCCCAGCACGTGGCTGAAAGGGAGGCGTTAGGCGAGGGCTAGGGCGGAACAGCATAGCTGAAAGTGAAGGCAGAAATCATCGCAGGTGCTGGGAAGGAGGAAGGGGAAGGTCTGGAGGGGAGGAGACTGGGCAGCGGCCGGCGCTGGGGAACCGGGTGGTCCCCCGGCCCCGCGACTCCCGGGCCCTCCCCTGCGCCGGTCCGGGACGTACTGTTGTCCTCCGCCTCCTGCGGCGCCGAGGGCTTGCCCATCTTCACCCAGAGGATGCCCAGGAAGACGAGCAGCAGCCCCAGGCTGGCCCAGAGCAGCAGCCGAGACAGGCAGCGCTCCAGCCGCCGCCCCGCCTCCGGCCGGGAGCGCGCTGCTCCCGCAGAGCCCGTTCGCGGGGCCCGCAG